GAGCAACAGCCTTTTTTTCCCCACTGTAATTACGCTCAGTTATTCCTAAATTAGTAGCACAGTGCTTGGGAAGCCTCATGTGTCTTAATCATGCAGTCTAAATTTCTGTGCCAAAACGTGTTTTAATGCTGCAAAAAAGCTTAAACTCTCACAATTCTGGTTTCACAGTACTCTCTGTGCAAAGTCATAGAATGAATCACAGACTGGTTTGGATTGGAAGGGACCTTAAAGCTCATCCAGTTCCAACCCCCCTGCCAGCAGCAGGGACACCTTCCACTAGACCAGGCTGCTCAAAGTCTCATCCAACCTGGCCTTCAACACTTCCAGGGAGGAGCAACCACAGCTTCTCTGGACAACCTGGGACACTGTCTCACCACCCTCACACCAAAGAATTTCTTCCTCACATCTCAGCTCCATCTCCCCTCTGACACTTTCAAGCCATCACCCCTTGTTCTCTCACTCCCTGCCCTTGGCCAAAGTCCCTCCCCACCCTTCCTGGAGCCCCTTCAGGTACTGTGAGGCTGCTAGAAGGTCTCCCTGGAGCCTTCTCTTCTCCAGGCTGAACAGCCCCAACTCTCTCAGCCTGTCCTCACAGCAGAGCTGCTCCAGCCCTCGCATCATCCTGGTGGCCTCCTCTGGTCTCACTCCAGTACGTCCATGTCCTCGGTCCCACGTGCTCAGTGCAGTATGCTGTGTGGCTGAGTGAGAGAATTACTACCTTAGTGAACAGGGTGTATGTAAGTGTATCTAAGGAGAGGCCTCTGTGACATCTTTCCAGAAGAAGTCTAGTGAAGAAGTTGAATCATCTTGCGCCAAGACAGTCTTCCTCCAAACTGGATGAGAAAGAGGAGTTAAAAGGTTAGGTAGGACAGTGGAAGGGGTCCAATTTGTATGGAAGTGTCTGGACTCACTAGAACCATTGTCCCTCCAGTCCCTGAATTGCTGGTCCAAGGTCTCCAGTCTCATCTGTCTTCTGAGATGTCTGCTGCCACCCTCTCCCTACAGTGCTGTCATGTAGCCGTATCTGTAGGTCACAAGGTCCTATTTTTCCTTCCACTCCCGTGGCAGTGCAGTAGATTTGAAGGATCCTACCTCACTCACGACGCCAGTGGGGTTTCAAAGAGGCCGTATGACACAGTCAATATTGAATTTAATTAAACTCACATACAAAACCATGCTAAAAAAAACATTATTTAGGATGGAAAGTCAGGAAGTGCCTGAAGGAAATTTTTTTGAGGGCATTTTGGGGAGATTATGCATAGTGTTAGTCTTCCTTAACAAGATCATATCCCAGCACCACTGTCTCTTTCAGAGATGAAGAACACATCTCTTTAAGGTGGAGAATACAATTTAACACACAGTATTTGAGCTGTGTCCTGAGGGTAGAAGTATTGTCTTCCACTGGATATGTACTTCATCAGAATTAATTTGCTGTCATTACAGCCCAGTGACAGTGGAGCACTGTTACCTCTGTTTTACAGAACGGAATTCAGGCATGAAATGAAATCAACGGTACAGATTTTGGGTACCAGTTTCAGGGACCTTAGATCTGAAACGTGGGTGTGGTTTCATTTCCAGAATAGTTTGCACTCAGAGTACTTTCTGTCTTCAGTGCCAAGGCTGAGACAGTTGGGCAAATCTGACTGCAGTCTCAAGGGAACAAACATTAGTGATCACGTGGGAGAGGTTTGTTCCAGGAGTCTTGCGCAGAGCTCTGTAGGGATATTGGAGTAGTTGCTGGGCTACAGGTTCCTTCTCTGAAGTGGCATCCACCTGCCATAGCTGAGGCTATTTCTGTTTCCTGACATCCATCAGCTTCTGTCAGCAAGTTTGTGATGGCACCAAGCTGTGTGGTTCGGTCGACACGCTGGAGGGACGGGATGCCATCCAGAGGGACCTGGACAGGCTGGAGAGGTGGGTCTGTGCAAACCTCATGGAGTTCAACAAGGCCAAGTGCAAGGTCCTGCAAGGACAAGCTCATCCAGTCCCAACCCCCCTGCCATCAGCAGGGACACCTTCCACTAGACCAGGTTGCTCAAAGCCTCATCCAACCTGGCCTTCAACTCTTCCAGGGAGGAGCAGCCACAGCTTCTCTGGCCAACCTGTTTCCATTATGAAGCATCCAAATGAATGGACTTTTGGACACCAAGAGTCCCACCTCTGAGATGAGCTCCTTGCTGCTATTCCCATGGCTTTTTTCCCAGTATAAGTCTCCTATCATACACGTTTCTTACAGGCTACATTCAAACCAATCACTTGACCTATATCTCCAGCTCCACATTCCCTCAAACCAGTGGTTATGCATCTCCACTCGGTTTTTATATAGCCTACTTTCTAGTCCTTCTTCATATCACAGAATCACAGAGTCACAGAATGGTGGAGGTTGGAAGGGATCTCAGGAGATCATCCAGTCCAACCCCCCTGCCAAAGCAGGTTGCACAGGAAAGTGTCCAGGTGGGTTTGGAACATCTCCAGAGATGGAGACTCCACACCCTCTCTGGGCAGCCTGTCCCAGGGCTCTGGCACCCTCACAGTGAAGAAGTTTTTCCTCATGTTTAAGTGGAACCTCCTGTGTTCCAGTTTGTGCCCATTGCACCTAGTCCTATCGCTGGCCACCACTGAAAAGAGTCTGGCCCCATCCTCTTGACACCCACCCTTTAGATATTTATAGACATTAATAAGGTCCCCAAATATTATCTGCAGAGGTTTGTTTGTTGTTTGTTTTTTTTTCCCCCCTCCCCTTTTTTCCCTTCACCGTTTGTGCCTAGTACACATTTGGCATAAATAAGAGCGGTGTGGAGGCCAGTGCATGACCCACGTGTCTGTCTTTTTTTTTTTGCCAGGATAAAACCTCAGTCTCAAACCTGGAAATATTTCTCAGATTGTTTTTCCCATACCACCCACATCTTTTTTTTTTTTCCACAAGAGGAAACTGCTTATGTCAAATGCTGTGGGAACCTAATTGTTACTTTATCGCACAGCGAGGAAAAAAAGTACTAATTAAACAATATGCTTTTCTGAAACCAGATGATACTTTCATTTTCTAGAAAGAGGAAGCTTAATGTAAAATCCCTTCGTCTCTGCCTGGTGAAACCAAATGAATTGCCAAGAAGTTTTCTAATTTCATTTGCATAAGCCTTTTTCTAGCTACTTTGAAGACAAAGTTCAAAGCTGAGTGTTTGG